GAAATTAATGTCATCTTTTGAGCATTCGATATTTTTTTCTTTACGTAAACAAAAGGCACACTGTATAAGTGTGACAATTATAAAAGTTACCTTGATACGCGAGCTGAGTTCAAAATCAAGTCGAGTCTGTTTCGCTTACTTCCTATTACTATCTATCTATCTATCTATCTATCTATCTATCTATCTATCTATATATCTATCTATCTATCTATCTATCTATCTATCTCAATCTGTTCATATCTATCTATCTATCTATTGGAAGAGGCATGAACTTATCTCCATTTAGCCATAGTTTAAATAATATTGCTCACTGTTTTTTTAAGGTATCAATCACTCCTGTCATTTTGTGTTTTGCCATCCATTTCCATAATCATTTTAGGTTCATTAATCGATATTTACCTTTTCCCTTTTACCTTCAATATGACTTGTGCGAGCCTAATTCGCCAAGCCTTCTTTCTTCGGAATTATCAAAATTTTCTTTAAGACTGTAAGTAAAAGTCCCTCTTAACATTGTCAGAGAGAGAGAGAGAAAGAGAGAGAAAGAGAGAGAGAGGACCTCCAGATGGTAGTCAGACCATCAAGGACACACCAGGACTTGGCTTTGTGGATTTTAATGTCTCTCTCCGTTGACTGGAGGTTGCTGCCGGGGTAAACAAATTCCTGGACGGACTTGATGTTGTTGCCGTTTTTTCAAGTTAATTTCTCCTTCGTGCTTGTAGCTGATAAATTCTGTTCTGCCAGCGTTAACGGAGACACCAATCTCGATGGCTGCTTCTTCGATGCGATGGGGAAGTTTGGTAGCCTTATCAATCGTGTCTGACAAGGCAAGGTCATCTGAGTCTGTTATTGTTTTTGATGGGTGATGTGAATTTCTTGCTTTTTCAAGGGTTAGCCCCAGATCTGTGTTCAGATCAGAAGATGACCGCGGGGCGTAATCTAGGCACAGGATGATTAAGAAATGGGCAAGCCTATCTCTCGTCAAGTCTCGAGCGTCAACGTTGAATAAATCCATAAGAGAGGCTTATTTAAGGCCACGATAGAATCTGACTTGCTCTACGGCTCAACAACATGGACACTGACGAAACACCAAGAAGCATCACTTGACGGGACATACACAAGGATGTTACGAGTTAAATAGGACATCAACTGGAATAAACACCCGACAAAAAGATCGCCTATATAGACACCTCCCTATCTCAGTTTCGCTAAGAGAGAGAAGGTCTCGGCTTGCTAGTCACTCCTGGAGAAGTAAGTCAGAACTTGTAAGTGACACCCTCCTATGGAACCCATTGCGCGGCAAAAGATCGGTTGGAAGACCTCATCACACCGACATTGACCATCATGTATCAGGTCATCCCATAAGTTCTGTCCGAATTTTGAATAAAGAAAACAAGTGACCAAATGTTACATTTAATTACGGATTCAATCAACAATGTATTTTCCCTGATTATCTATGACTTCCTTCCATCTATTAACAAGCTTACTAATCCATTACTGTAAAATTCTTTTGGCTTTGATTCGAAGAAATCACAAATGGCAGTTTTAACTTCTTCCTGTGTTACAAAAGCTGTTTCTTCCAAATGATTCTGTAAGCTACGTAACAAATGGTAGTCTGAAGGAGCAAGATCGGGAGAATAAGGTGAATGAGGAATTTTCTCCCAACCAAGTTCTTCGATCTTTTGTGACGTGATTCTTGCTGTATGGGGTCGCGCATTGTCCTGATGAAACATCACTTCTTTTCGATTCACTAGAACAGGTCTTTTTTTCTTCAAAGCTTGGTTCAAACGCTCTAATTGCTGACAGTATATTTGATCATTAATTGTTGCATTAGGTGGTAAGAATTCAAAGTGGATTATTCTCGGCTGTGGCTGGGGTCCTTCCCCTTTAACAAGCCACTGTCTACGACGCTTAACATTTCGATAAAAGATCCATTTTTCGTCGCCAGTCACAAGTCTATCCCAAAAAGGTGAAACAAGTTGGCGAGAATGGAAAGAAGAGCAGATGTCATCTCGGTATTTGAGGTTGTTTTCAGACAATTCATGAGACACCCATTTTCTAAGTTTAGGAACTTTTCCAAGTTGTTGAAGCTGACGATGAACAGTTGTGTGGTTTGTACTGAGAACCACTGCCAATTCCTCAACTGATAAAGCTGGATTTTCTTCAAGGGCTGCTTCAAGAAGCTTTTCATCAAACTCAACTGGACGTCCGGTTCGATCTTCATCTTCAAGGGTGAAATCTCCACCTCTGAATTTTGCAAACCATCTTCTGCAAGTTCTTTCATTCACACATTCCTCTCCATAAACTGAGTGAATGTTTCTAGCCGCTTCGGCTGCTGAGTTTCCTTTCTTGAACTCATAAAGCATTATGTGCCTCAAATGATTCTTGAGTACTTCCATGTTAGCAGGGTTTTAATCAAACAAAATTTAATTTTATTGTTCTCTGAAATAAAATTTGATCGGTTTAAACGCATCTAAACATAAAAATAATGTTTAGCTCCATTAGACATTATAAAATACTCTTTAAATATCGTTCATTTTAACAAAAAGTTCAAATTCGGACAGAACTTATGGGATGACCTGATAGATAACTCTGGATGCCATCTGGAGGACCTGCCGACAACGATGTCTGACAATGGTTGGAAGGAACGAATCAGGATTATCCGAGAAGAGAAGTTTTCGGCTAGATGGTCACTCTTGGAGAAGTAAGTCAGAACTTGTAAGTGACACCCTCCTATGGAACCCATTGCGCAGAAAAGATTGGTTGGAAGACCTCATTACACCTACATTGACCAACATGTAGATGACTCTGGATATCTGACAGAGATCGTTGGAAGGAACGAGTCAGGAGAATCCAAGAAGAATCCTCAACCTGAGGATTATGTAAGTAAAAAAGTAGTAAGCAAAAAAGTCAAACGCTCACTTTCTGAGCGACTGTTCGGTTCAACTCTGTCTATGGACGGAGAGAATCCCGAAGGAGGCTACGCCGAAGGGCGGCGTCTCCTTCGGAGTGGTAAAACCGGCCCTGAACTCGTTTAGGCGGGTTTAAACGGGCATATTTTGGGGCCGATCCCACGGGCTCGGGAAACCCACAATAAACAACCGACCTTGTGTCACATGTTGCCCTAGTGGGGGGGACTCGATATCGTAGGCAAAAAAGTAGTTTTTGTTTCTGTGTTCATAAAAAATTTCCAAATTTCTCATAAAGCCAAGCTAAGCATCCGTCTGTAGAACCAAATCTCTTTGGCCTCCTGTTTCCTCTTCATCTATAAGTAAATTGTCCAGTATTCGTCCTCATATAGATATCCATTATTACATAGTATGGTAACTTTAGTTCTACGGAAACTCTTGATAACTGGCAAAATTTTCTTAATACTTTGCTTAGCTTTTATTAGGCATCTTTCGCTGTCTCAATGTGCCTTCGAATTACTGCGTCATATTTTAGGTGGTAAATTCAAAGGCTGCCATTTCAGGGAAGGTCGCCTTTCTTTGTACGATTTACATACGATCTATTGCCGTCATTTTTGTTGTCATTATTACAAAGTTTCAGTCGTTTTACCGTCCTGCCTTCGTCAAGTGTACGGTTAACTTTCGAATTAAACTCTTCATTAAACCTACGGGCTCCACCCTTCTGTGCATTAATTGAAACAAAACGAATTCCGTTATTATTTACTTTTCTTCCGTATTATTCCAATGAAACTTTACCCAGTGCACATGTTAGTACTTCGTATGTCCATTCCAGGAAGTCGTTCCTTGCGGATTTACCACAGATTCTCGATTGGATTTAAATCAGGAGAGTTTCCGGGCCAATCCATATTACTTTCATTTGCTCACTGGTGAGGCTTGCTAGTGTGTTTGTGCAGCGTTACAATTTTTGTACGCTTCCGTGGAGGAATTTCCAACGTGGACAATGACTGTAGGACAACTAATCGACAGCCGAGACAATAGTGTCTTGGCGTGATAAAAATCTGATGCAATCACTGACGATGCAATATTTTTCAAGGCCAAACCAATTGTCTCATAGACACCGAAAATAGATTCATATTACTGCACACTACTGCAAATGACTTAATCTGATGAAATAATAGAAATCGGTTACATCCTGTCATTCCAGTGGGTTTAAAACTGACCGTATGTTGAAAGAAAATAAACTAAAGCGGTTGTTTCATTTAATTTGCACAAGGTTGTAGAATCCTAAATACCAAACTTGATGTGTATGAAAGTAAATGGTACTTCGCCGTGGACAAAGGAAAGATTTCGATTCACACGGGGGTGCTCTCTGTTTGTGAAAAATGTCTTCACGTGCCCCTGTCGAGTGTAGGATCCTCGACACTTGTGACTCGTAACAATATTAAAGATATTTCGGTAATAGGCTCAAGTGTATTTCACGTCTTTTCTTTTGCCCATTTCCTCTCTTTATATTTCTCTTTCTTTCTGTCTCGGTCTATTAATATATTTCTCTCTCTCTCTCTCTCTCTCTTTTCTCTCTCTTTCTTCTTCTTATTTTCTCTCTCTCTCTCTTTTCTCTCTCTTTCTTCTTCTTATTTTCTCTCTCTCTCTCTCTCTCTCTGTCGCTTTTGTAGTTGATCTCTCTTTAACTTTATTCCCCTTTTTCTCTCCCTTGACACTGCTTAAAAATTATTTTCACGTCTTTCTTTCTTCTTATCGGTAACTCTATCTCTCTCTCTTTCTCTTTCTCACTCTATTAGTATCTCGTGAGAGAGAGAGATACTTTTTTCAATTTCTGTCTCTCTCTTTCTCTCTCTTTCCAGGCTTTATCGTCTCTCACACACACTCTTTTTGTCTGTCTTTCTCTCTTTTTTTTTCTCACTCCTTCTCTCACTGACACATTTTTCAAAAAGTTTCTTCCATATGTCTCATTTTTTTTCTTACCGGTCTCCTCTCTCTCTCTCTCTCTCTCTCTCTCTCTCTCTCTTTCACACACACACACACACACACATGGAGAGTCTCTTATATTCTCTCTTTATTGTCAATTTCTCTTAACACGTTCCATTGTTATTTTTTCCTTATATTGTTGCGATATGACAAGCCCATCAATAGAGGATGACAGCTCCAATCACTACGGGGCGATACCCCAATCTATCTCTGCTCAGTATTGACCCAAATAGTCATATCTACTAGGTGTTGGTTAGGAGGTGTGATTTATGATTCATGGTTCATAAAAAAGGCCGTTTAGCCAAGTAGCAGCAATCCGCTCTGGTCAGCTCTACGAAGAATGAGCCCAACCCGACACTCTTTGTTTTGTCCATGTTTCCAAAACTTTAATAAAAAACTCTTCCCTTCGAAGTTGGAAGTTAGCAATTTCGAAATCTTTATGCTTGATTTTAACAATACTAAGGAAACATTCATTAAAAGGTCTTGTTTTCATCTTGCTTTAGGTTAAAACCTAAAGCAAGATGAAAACAAGACCTTTTACTAGCAGTAAAACCTGTCTTCGACTGTGTGTTTCATTACTGGGAATTTTTTGTCGTTCAATTGGAGTATTAGTAACAACATTTGGGTGCAACTGAGGCATATCCCCAAATGGTGGGGCTAGCAATTTCAATGGGGGTGGCCCTGAAAAAGGACCGTTTTTGCGTTCTCATTCTTGCAAGGAGGGAACCTCTTCCATGGACCGTCATAATAATAATATACGATAATTTTTACTAATAATATAAGTTTTTTTTTATAATTCTAATAATTTTTGCGTTAGATTTCAATTCTCTAAATGGATTGTACGCTGTCTTTTACAGACATTAAATTGTACCTTTGATGCTTGCGCAAAGTATATAAAATCGGTTTTTTCGATTTTCACCTTCAAGTTTGTAATTTTGGGACTCAAAACAGGCACTGACGAATTATCTATCAAACAAAAAAATCGGATGAAGACTGTGGAAACGCATAAACAACATCCGATCACACACGCATACATACATACACACACATTTTGTTAATTATAGATTTAGAGATATGCTGTCTGATCAAAAAGTATCGGTTCTGTTGCTCTAGTAACTACATTTCTGCTTATTTAGTGTAATTAAACGTATTGGTGTGCAAATTTCTATATTAAACAACTCTTTAAAAAATGGTAACTTCAAAAAAATTATCAGAAGTACGCAATTATCGAGGGACGCATTGGTCTAGAGACGCAATTATCCAGGAACGCACTTGTCAGGTACGCAATTGTACGAGGCGCAAATGTCCCGTTATATTAGTGTCTCTCTCACGTGAAGTCTCCCTTCTTCTCTCTTATTTCCTCTGGCCCTTTATTAACACTATCTACAATTTATCTTCTTATGTGTTATGTACTTTCAGGACGTAAGCGATCATGGCTCTCCACCTCCCTCTATCCTTTCCAGTTCTAAACAAGTTACATCTCTCTGCCACCTCCCCCAGGCCACGTTCTGCCATCTATTTGCTTAAGCCCGCTAGGTATGTCAAGCGTTGTTTTAACTTGTCTCTCTTTCCCTCTATTCGACTCGTGAGTATCAGATTCTGCAGGTTCTCTTTCCTCACTAGAAACTTCAGCAGCCTCTTTCTGATATTAAGTATAAGATTCCTCCTTGTTTGCATCCTCTCTAAGACCTCATCGTTGCTCAAACGATCAGTCCATAATATCCCTAGCATCCTTCTGTAGAACCACATTTGTGTGGCCTCGTGTCTCTTCTTCATCTTTGAGAAAATCGTCCAATATTCGCTACCGTAAAGAAGGACATATGTCACGTAACAGCTCAGTATTCTTTTCTTCTTTACCAAAGAAATCCTCCTGTCGGCAATACTCTGCCCAGCTTTTGAAATACGTCTTTGGCCATCCCAATACGTCTACGGATCTCAATATTGCACTTACGCTACTTTGGGCTCATCCTTTTACAGATGACCATGCATTCCGTTTTCTTGTAGTTTGTGCTTAGTCCTTTCTTCTCACTCTCCGTCGCTACATTCTGTAAGAGATTTTGTAATTTCTTTTTCGTATTTGTTATCAAACTGTGGCATCGGCATATCTTATATTGTTAAGATTGTGTTCGCCAATGCTAAATCCAAGTAGGGTTTCCAATACACTCAGAATTACCTCGCTGTATCGGTTGAACAGGTCTGGAGAGTAGATGCATCCTTGCCTTACGCCAGTTTCTATTTTTGTATATTCACTCGTTCCCTATGCGCATGCAAGCTGTTTGCTGCCAGTATAGGTTCTTGATGATTCTGATAACTTTCCCGAATATATGAAATTTACTGAACCCAAGGATCACATGTTGCCCGCGGACTATTTTTCCGCGTGGTACAATTTTGTGGCCAATATTTTCCTTCTAATTTAATTTATTTGTCTATTGACCCTTACATACTTTAGCAATAGCAGTATTGACTCTCCCACCTATAACCAATCAATATAAAGGTCCGCAGAACCTGTCCTAAATCCTCTCCGGGGAAGGGATTGGAAATATTCATCTCGCCATCACTACGTATTCTCAGTCGAGTGGGTACAGATATAGTTACCCACAAATTTTCTGTTTCGTTTTTTTTTAATTTTATAAGAGGGAATACATTTGAAAACTTATATCAAGGAAAGCTGACGAAAATGTTCTCCTCCACACCTTCCATATCTGAATGTGATGATGAAATAATTTTGATAAGATAGAATGTGATTCTACGAGCGGGCTCCATCTGGAATATCATGTCTACCCAACGTTACTGGAGTTGAGTCTCACTCTGTTGATAATACACAGACGACGTCCCTGCTTCTGAACCGTTGCTCATCTTCAGGACATCATGACTTTTGGGGGGTTTGCGTTTGTGACCCCTTCTCCACGTTTTTCTATTCTCTTAGTATACTGCCTTTTTCGCATTTTTTTCTTATCTTCTATGTCCTTTTTTCTTATTAGTCTGTATCTATTTCCCTTCATCTCTCTATCTATCTATCATCTTTTTCTGTTTTAATCTGCCTTTCTCTTCTCTAATATGGTATGTCATCTGTCGGTCTCGGGAGACCAAGTTATACCCTCTCCAAGATGCAGGTCTGGGCACGGTTTTTATGAGAGATCACCATGCAAAACGCCTCCCCATCTACGCCACTGATGTTGTCCAAGGCAAAGTCAGGGGCTAATACAGCTTGGCATTGTCGTCGTTGCAAGAATTACCAGAAAGAAACTAAACATGATCTTGGACTGTCTTAGGGACTCTTGTCCCGGATTTTAATTCAGATTTGTCCTTCTCACAACCTGATTGTCAAACGCGACTACAGAGTCCAGACTGCAATACTATTTACCTATAGTTAGAGCTTTTTAATTTTAGTTTTCTTTCTCTTAGGCAGGTTGCCACTCAAGCCTATAGAATCAAGTTTGTCCTGCTATTTAGTTATCTTTCTCTTGTAATACCTTGAAAAAATGTCCTGCACTTTTAATTATGTATCATTTAACATTCTAGGATTCTTTACTTTCAGTTTTTTTTGTCCTCTGCTGTAAGCGATACTTTTGATACCTCCATCTTTGTAACTCTTTCCGAAATATTTATTAATGATCCACGTTACAATCAGGTGAGAAGGGATTCAAGTAAGTGTATAAAAAGTGACAATTTGCAACATCTAATCCAAGAACTCACTCTTGCTTCTTCATTCTCCAAGTGCAGCGAAATTGATACAAAATTATTATTACCAGGCTTTAATTCTCGCGAGAGTCTCGCTTTTTAATGAGACTTCCTTAACATGATCGTTTTCTTTGTCCTTCTTTTATACCAGCACAATGACGCGTCTTAGTGTTACAATAAGCAGAACCAAATTAATAATGACTTTTGTCTTTCAATTTCAGGCAGATCAATTTTATTGTTGGAAATGCAAACATCTCTGATAGTGCACAGATGCTGCGATTATCAAGGAATTGAATTCGTCAAATTGGAAGTCGTGTCTACTTTTGTTATACGAACGTTCACCAGCAACAAACATAATCCCAGAGCTTGAATTACGATTCAGACTACATTCATATGGCAGACACATGCCGGAAATGCGTGCAAGAGATATTGAAATATGAATATTACCATGTATATTCGTCTCACAGCGCATGGGTTCAACGAAAAAACACCTTAGCTAACTGAATCATGTCGTGTGCGCAATAAGGTCCTGCTATATACTTTAACTAAAAAGTAATTCTCTTTGCTGTAAATATATTAACTACTGAAAGTAACTACTGAACTTTATATCTCAATTTTCATCAATGATAATTCTTGGCAGTAAAATACATGAAGAAGAAAAGGGAAAATACTTGCTGAAAATAAAATACAAGTATATTCCAATAATTAAAATATACAGCGTGTCCATAAAGTTCGTGTGCACTTTAAAAAATTATAACTTTATTTGTATTTGCGATAGAAATAATCGGTAAAAAATATTATAAAGTTTAATGTATCTAGTTTTAAGTATAGTTAAAATAACTAATGTGATTTCAGGCATTACTGTAAATCAGTTGGCAAATGTTTTCCGTGAACTGCAAAATCGTATTACCCTTTGTATTGCTAATGATGGAGGACATGTTGAAACTTAAATAAAATTTCAATAAAACCTTAAAAAATATAGATTTACTTCTTTCTAATCCTTTTTACAAATTATTTCTATCGCAAATACAAATAAAGTTATACATTTTTTTAAAGTACACACGAACTTTATGGACACCCTGTGTATACACAGGAAGAATATGAAAGAATACACAGCTTTAGAATATTTTTTTTTGTTGGGTACATGGTAAATTGGCAACGTGGAAAATTGAGAACATGGTAAATTGTTCTTTAACTACAACTGCATTCTTTTCGGTGTGTAAGTCGGGGATGGAATAATACAACAGTTTTTCTTGTTAAATGTAGGGCAAAGAGGAGTTCGATCCTTACTGGGGACAACAAACTGGCGATGACAAACCAAGATAAGGCTGCTTCAATGGGGTGTAATTGTCAGTAGTTTGGACTTTTGCAATATACCAATGGTTTAAATATCTAACAAATGTTTTAACAGAGCAGAAAAACTGCGA